CACCACCAACACAGCACATGTTCAGTGAGCTAAACTACCTGCATCCATGGTCTCCGGCACAAGCTCTGAGCCTTGGGATGCACTGTGCCTGTTTCTTCATCTGCAAACGGGAACAGAACAATACCTACCCCACCAGATCGCTGTCAGGCTGTAATGAGTAAACTCGTGCACAGCACTACAGCAGGACTGGACACAAGTAAGGGCTTAGGAAACAAACTGGAATGCCTAGGTGGCTCAGCGGTTGAGTGTCTGCCTTCCGCCAGGGGTGTGATCCTGGAGTCCTGGGATAGAGTCCCACATAGGGCTCCCTGCATGGAACCTGATTCTCTCTGCCTATGTCTGCCTCTCTCTCTCTCTCTCTCTGTGTGTGTGTGTGTGTGTCTCATGAAGAAAGAAAGAGAAAGAAAAGAATAGAAAAGAAAAGAATAGAAAAAAGAAAAGAGAAAGCCTGTCATTATCATCAGCTCAGTTAAGCCCTCTATTCAAGACTGGAATGAGAGCCATTGGGGTCAACTGCTCATCAATTGTTTATTAAGAACCTACTATGCGCCAGACACCCAACAAGTGCTAGTCCCGTTCACTGGCTATGCCAAGTCATTCAAAAGTCTTCCAAGCCTGTTTTCCTCTTCTGCTAAGTAGGAAATAATAGTACCTGCTGCACAGAGCAGAGAGGGGCAGGAAGAGAACTTACCTAAAGTAAATCACAGGGCCCCGAGCCACAGCGAGGGCTCGATAATACCATTAATCACACCACACATCATCTCTCCACAAACCTGGAAGTGACTTGCAGAGTTAACTAGTTCACCTGCTTGTTCCAGAGCCTATGGTAGGGATTCACTTAATACTCCTGCACCCTCCCCGTTTCCTTACTATCAACACTCCCAAAGGTAGATAAGAAATAAAAAGACCGCACGTTACTTGGATTAAAATACACAGCTGAGTGTGTGCACGGGGAGGCTGCACCTTCGCTTTCTCAAGCCCCCACCTTACTACTACACGGAGCTCTCTGGGAGGGCGACTAGCGATCACCCTCCCTCCACACGGGTCCCGCCAGGAGCCCAAAGCCCGCACGGAGCCCGCACAGCTCCCGCATGGGATCCCGCACTGGGTCCACGGGCTCCCTGCCTCCCGCTCGCTTCTCCCTCCGCCGCGAGGCCAGAGGTCCCCCGCACGAGAGCCTGGTCTCCGCGCGGCCACGAGCTAGGGCACAAACTATCGTCCACAATTAGCAAAAGGGAAGCCTACACGGCAGGAGCGAGAGAGACCACGGGAACTTTTTAGATCCAAAGCCCGTGGAGGCAGTTTGTTCAGAAATAAACTGAAGTCGTGCCTTCCTGCTTCTGACAGCCGCCAGGGCTGGGCAGCATTGTCTGGGGAGAAGCGCGCCGGGCCGGCCAACTTTTCCTTAAAGCCAGTGCCATCCTATTCGGAACAAAGTGAAAGGTCAGCGGGGCGCAGGAGAGAGAGGCGCGGGGAGCGGACGGCCTCGCCTCGGCTCGCGCCGCGAAGTTGGCCGGCTCGCCCCACTTTCCCTTTTGTCCTCCGCCCCTTCCGCGGGGCTCCCCGCGGAGGCCCCGGGCGCGCGGGGGCGGGCGACGCGGACCCCGGCGGCCGGCCCTCACCCCGCGCCCCGCCCGCCGGCCGCCCCCCGCCCGCCGCACAAAGCGCGCCCCGCGCGGCGCGGCCCGGACGCCGGCGGCCTCGGCCCGGCCTCGGCCTGAGGCGCGGCGGCGGCGGCGGCGGCGGGGAGGCGCGGGTCCGCCCGGCCCCCTCCGGCTCGGCGCCCCCGCCCGCGCCCGCGCGCCCTGCCTGCCCGCCGGCTCCGCGCCCGCCGGCTCCGCGCCCGCCGCCCCCGCCGGCCCGCCGCCCCGCTCCTCACCTCGGCATCGGCGGCGGCCATGGCCCGGGCCCGCAGCGTGGCCCCGCCCCTCCCGCGCGCCATCGCCCCGCCCGCGCCTCGCGGCTCAGGGCGGGGCGGGGCTAGTCGCGCGCGTCTGCGCCTGCGCCCGCGCCCGCGCCGGCGCACTGCGGCCCCGCGTGCGGCGTCCCCGGCGCCAGCCTGCGCCGACCGGAACCGGGACGCGCGGGCCGGGCGGGGGGCGGGGCTGGGCGCAGTGGCCTTCCGGGGCCGTCGCGCCGGCCGGGCGTTGTTCTCCGGTTTTCACAGTTAGCTTTTCCTTCTACGTGGTCGGTCATTCCGGTGGCCTGGCCGGGGTGGAGAAGGACCCCTGACCTCTAACCCCGGACACACTTGGCTTCCGCCGGCCTTCGCAGAAGGCGGATCGTGACGTGCGTCCTAGGGCGGTACCCGGGTTTAGGGTCTTCCCGGCGTGCTGGGCAGTGCCCGCCTGGAGGGTGCTTCTGGGCCGCGCCCCTGGCTGGGGGTGCCCCGGCCGAAGGAGGTCGCGCTGGGAGCGGGTGCCGGCGGGGACGCGGGCGCGCCGCCGAGGAGGACGCCTCAGTGAGCAGTGTGGCCTCCACCTGGGGTGATGGTCCAGCTCGGGACGCCCCGGCCAGCGGGCGCTTCCGCTCTCCGTGGGTGGGGACGGTGCCCTGACTGGGAGGCCGGGGTGGCTGGAGGATGCCCCCAGCAGGAGCTGGTCCCCGCCGGGCCGGGGCGCTGCGGTCAGGGGGTGTGCCCCCGCGGGGCTGCCTCCCTCCGCAGCCCCGGCTCTTTGATCCGGCCTCTGCCCGCCAGCCTGCTGCACACCAAGCATCCCATCAACTGGCTTCGCCCACCCGCTCCCACAGCCAGACTTATTTTTTACCATCTTCTGGGAGTTGAAGGAAAGATCGAAATTGGGATTCTCTGGCTAGTCTTTGCAGCAGGAACTGGGGAGACCCTGACTGGAGGGCTAATCTGTCTCCCCCTCGCTCAGGAGGGCTGGGTCCCAGGGGACCCCAGGAAGATGACGGAGGTGGCCACTGACCGTGCACACGGTGCAGAGAAGGACAGGTGTGAACACCCGGGAAGTCTCCCCACGTTTCTCTGGGACAGCCTCAGGCAGCTCCCAACAAGCTTAGGACCCCAGTCCATCGGAGCCGGCGACTGGACGCCCAGTACTTGTGGTCAGCACAGCACACCCAGGCCACCTGCACCCACACGTGCCTGTCACCGTCCTCCCATCTCCACGCTTGCCAGGCAGGCCCTCCTTTGTCCCTTCCCTGAAATGCTCTCCCCCACCCCCAGGGTCTCAGTTACCACCACTTCAAGGAAGCCTTCCCTCACCAGCCTATTGGAAACCGTACTGCACCCCAGAACTTCCTTGCTCTGTTGGATTCCATGGCACTCCACTGCTATGTCGTCTTTCCCACTAGAATGTAACCCAGACGGTCCAGGATTTTTATCTCCTGTGCCCTAATCCCTACAACAATGCTTAGCAGGAAGGAGACAAATATTTGTTGAATAAGTTTGATGTGAAGGAAACATCCTTCACCAAGCAAATACCAGCCGTAAGTGACTGTGCCAGAAGTAGGACATGCTCCCCTTCTGCACTGTCAGCACAACCCATCTGATCCTGGTGTGGTCGCTGACATGTCACACGCTGGTTTTGACATGTGCCGTGTGAACTGTATGACCAGTGGGTCAGCCCTGAGAGGCACACTTGTTACCCACACTGAGGGAGCGAGCCAAAGCAAGGGAGTCGAGTGCACCCAAGGCTGTTTAACTGCCGAGAGGCAGAGATGGGATTGAAACCCACGCAGGTTTTAACTATGAGGCTACCACTAGCAGATGTTTTATGGATTATCCTCCTTGTGGCATACTTTGAGCTTTTCTCCAATGTTCATCCTCTCCTTGTCCCACAAATAGTAACACTTCTAGCTGGGTACATGGCTGCCTGGCTAAAGAGCACATTTCCAACTGGAAAGAGTGGCCAGTGGGATGTTTGCACACGTGATACCATCTACATCCCAGCCTATAGCTCCCAAGAAATTAGCAAACTGGGTGATGATGAAATCCGGAAGGGCCACCCTGGACCCAGGGGTGGAAGCCTCAACTTGAGAATGACACCTGTCACTAGGCTCAAATCTTGTACTTCTCGACTGTTTAGTATACAAGAAATCAACTGGGGGTTAGAAGGGAGGTGGGGGGGTCTGGTATGTCCACTCATAGTCCTGTAGGTTTGTTACAGATTAGCTGAGGCAGCTGTCCAAGGTCACCCCCTCACCATATGTCAGATACGGAATTTCAACCCAAACTCTTATCTTAATTCCACCTCCAGTATTTTCCCAAAACACGTTCCAGGATCATTGGCCCCCTTGGGCATGTACAGGCCCTCCCCTCAGCCCTGGAACATCTGCAGGATCCTCCTTTGGGAAACATTGCTCTACCGAACCCTGACTTTATTTGTTCTTGGGTTCCTTGGATCCTAGACAACAGGCATTTGAAAGGGACCTCAGGAGCAGGCCTGGGCTTGTGTGTTCACCCTTGGATGGGAGACAAGCATCGATCGGTCTCCCTCAGAGCCAGACACGGCCGCCGTGGACTTGAGGCTTGAGTACAAGGGTAAGGGAACCCCACAAGGGGCAGGGACTTGGGCCAGCCCTCCTCCTTACCCCCCATGGGATTTCCTCTAGTGCAGGAGGTCTGAACCGCCACTCAGAACGATAGGTGCCAGATGGGCAAGCCCAAGGTGTGTCAATAAAACGTTACAGGGGTGGTCCTCTCCCCGTGTTACAAATACATTTTAAGTTAAACAAAGGCTCCACACACCTGCCAGCCCCGCTTGGAGGGTGCATCCTGAGGCAGAACCATGAGGATGAGTTAAAGGCACCCAGCCCACGCTGGTCCCGCTCCCCCAGCCAGTCTTCCAACCTAGACAGCTGGCAGGAAGAGGGGCCCAGAACCTAGGAGAGGGGCTGTGCCCCGGAGGGGGTGGGACAGCCCATAGGCAGGCTCCCAGGTCTGAAGGAAAGGAGACCAGAGCCAGGAGTGGGAAACGTGCCTGCGTACTGCACTGGGCAGGCAGGAGGAGGGTGGCCCAGAGGCCAGCCGGTGACCAGCTCTACAAACGAAGCACTTTATTTACATGGCATCTCTCTAGGCCCCAGGCCCCGGGGAGACGCTGGGCCCCGGGTGGAGGCTGAAAGGAGCAGCCGGGCAGTAGGGGTCCTGAGTGGGCCGGGTCAGGCCAGGAGTGAAGAAGGCACGAGGCCCTGGGTGCCTGGTCCCAGGACAAAGGTCAGCCCACCCGGAGAAGACAGCACAGGGTCAGCTCCTGGGCGTCAGGCTGGGATCTGCACCGCCACAGCTCTGCTCATAGGATGGTGGGGCTTCTGTGGGGAGAGAGTGAGGTCTGTGTGGAGCTCCTGGTGCCCTCTCCCCAACCAAGCCCCAGGCCCCTCACTCACCATAGGGATAGCCCCATGAGCTGTACTCTGGGGGCAGGATCAAGGTACTGGTGGTGGGCACTGGCCCTGCGGAACCCTCTGCAAAGTAGGGGACGGTGGCACCTGTGGAGATGCACAAGGGAGGGGGCAAGGGGTGGGGAGCAGGGCTGCCATCTTGAGGGCGGGGTTCAGGGGCACCGGGCATGGAGCCGAAGGTGGCAGGTAACAGCTGCTGTTGTGAGTGGCTCTTCGTAGAGAGAGAGACTGCATCTGCAAAATGGGGGCTGCTGGCTGCAGCCTCAGCCTCCTCCTGGGGCGGTGCTGAGGGCACCACAGGGATTGGGGCCCCAGGAGGCGGCCCTGGGCCCAGCCGGGGGCTCAGTGGGGCATGGTTCACAGCAATATTGCCGATGAAGACAGGGAGGGTCACGGTGGCTTCAGGCACCTTCAGGGAGACCTGGGGAGGATGGGAGAGTGAGGCGAGGCCGCCTGCCCCCTGCCCCGCCCCAGTCCCTGCGACCCTCGCACCTGTAGATAGTAGTCCACATGGATGAGGCTGCAGCCTGGCAGGGCTGACTGGGGCAGGGCAGGCACCAGGATCTGCTCTTGCCACTGTGCCCTCCTCCAGGCCTTCACGCCCGCACCCTCTACCTCTGCGATGGTCCGCACATCATAGATCCAGCGCTTGGCCTGGTAGGACACTTTCTAGCGAAAAGCCAGCCTGTGAGCCTGGGCAGGCCAGCCACCTACCCCTCTTCCAGCCCCACGGGGACAGGCCTTAACAGCCAGAGGAGGCTCTGACCTGCAGCAGACTGGCTACCACGGGGCTGGTGTCCTTGCCTGACTGGTTCTCGATGTCAGCCTGCAACCGCAGCACCTGCCCCACCACGTAGCCACGGAGGTCAGTGCTGGCAGTAAGGACCACACTGCCTGTCTTCACCAGCTTGTAGGAGAACCTCTTGGTAGTGGAGGCCACGTTGGGTTGCTTGAGAGAAGGAGAGTAATGAAGGGCCTTGGGGGTGTGGGCAGTTCAGGTCTCCCTCACCCCTGGACAAGCCCACTCAACCCCGATGTGCCCTGCCCCCAGACACAACACAGTCAGCTCAGGGCAGAGAAGCTGCTGCTGCTCTTCTAGATCCCGGCCACCTCGTCTTACCTGGGGAGAGGGCATCAGGGAAGGTGGGGAATACCTAGGAGACCATCACTCCCTCCTCACCTCGATGTCTGGGATGCTGTTCAGGTTCAGGGGACTCAAAATATAGAACACACGGCTACACTGGTGATCCTTGGAAAAACGTGGTGTGTCGATGGTGGCCCGCACCTGGTACACGATCTTCCCAAAGAGGCCCTCGAAGGATGTGGGTGCTGTGGCTGGAGAGAGAGCAGGGAATGGCACCCACTGTCCCCTGCTCCACCTCCTGTCTACCACCGTCTGCACCAGGCCTGGCCAGGCAAGGCTGGGCTCTTACCAGGAAGCAGGAACTGGAAGGGGAAGCTGTGTTCTCCAGCTGGCAGGCTCCCTGCAGAGACAAGAGGGGTGGGGGGGACTCAGGAGCCTTGAGGTGACGCCACCGGACAGAGGCCAGAAGCAGGCACTGCAGTGGGCCATCTCACACTGAGTGTGGCTCCTGGGTCTCCCAGCCTCTGCCTCCCGGTGCCACAGCAGCACGGGGCCGCAACCTGGGCCGAGGATGGGTTACAAGAGCTTGGCTTGGAGAGGAAAGGGGGACAGGGCTCTGCCAGGGGCCGGAGCCCACCCACACCCAGGAGATGTGGCCCCCTCAACCCCCCAGACCCTATCAGGCAATGCCCCATGCCTTCAGGCAGAGAAATACATCTGGTACAAAGCCCTTCCAGAGGGTGGGTCAGCACAGAGATCCCAGAAGCAAATGGGGAGCTGTGGTGGACAGACAGGCCCCACTCTCAACCAATGTCTGCCGTGGGGTGCCAGGGGCTCACTCAATGCAGCAGGGCAAGTGCAGGCTCCTGGACTCACCCTTGTCAGCCAGCGACAGAGCACTGTTGAAGTAAGCCTCCTCCACCACCCACGCGGCATCGTTGGCCTTGTTGGACACCCTGCAGGAACCCATGCAGGTCACCCGGATGGCTGCAAGGCAGGGGGATGGCATGAGTCCAGGCAGCCACAGGCCTGGGCCCCTCCCTGCCCCCATCACAGAGATTCAGGTAGAGCTCGCAGCACCAAGGGGCGTTGGGCCTCTGATGGGCCCACAAATGGCCTGTGCCCTGCAGAGGATACCTCTATCCATTCCACATTTGGGGGTAGTCCCAGGGAGCCAGGGTGATAAGGCACAGAGGCAGATCTGTCCTGAAGTCCAGAACAGGAGGGCCCCAGCAGTCACCCAGATGTCCCACACAATCCCCCACCTGGTAACTTTGGTTCCCAGCCACCCTGGGCCCAGCAGACCTGTGGAAACTCAGCTCCCTACAAGGGATGCTTGGGGCACCAATGACGACAAAAGCCTATGAACTGCCAACCTCACTACATGTGGCCTCACTGGCAAGTCAACCAGGCTGGGAGGTGCCTCTTCACGCTCCAGGAAGCTAACTGTTAGCCTTCAGGATGCAGGAATGTGGTCAGACCTGCCCGAGCTGATGAGTACCCAACAGTCTGGCACACCCTTGACTTCCGGACCAGTCCTGCCCACAAGGGCCGAGGTCCTCTGCCCTACTCGCTGGTGGAAACGCCTAGATTAGGCCTGTTTGCAGTGGAGGTCGCCACCACCTTTCTGTGGTCAGGAACTCAAACTCCCCACTCCAGGGGACACAAGCCCAGAGAGCACTGTGGCCAGAGGCTCTGGCTGGACAACCAGGGGAGACAGCACAGCTGGGGCAGCCGAGGCTCAGTGCTGAGTAGCCCCGGATGGCCCGGCAGCTCCACCCCGCCAATAACTGCAGGCTTAAGACAAGGCCAAAGACACCAGCCTGCCTACCCAGCCTCTCCCTGCCATCCCCTGACATGATGGTCAGCTGAGAAGCAGGGCACTTGGAATCCAACACCTTCTGACAGAGCCACTTAGTGGGAGGAACCCAGGATCCCAAGTGCCCAGGGCCAGCCTCACCAGACATGTGCAGTCTCCCCAGGCCAGCCTCACCCCGACCAAGCAAGCCTCCTGCTGGCCACTCACGGACCTTCAGGCTCTCCCCCAGGGAGCCCTGACTTGTCCTGCACGCCCCCCCGGCACCGCGCCCGTGACTAGACCCCAGCCCAGATTTCTAACCCACACCCCATCAGCTGTCCCCTCCCAAGGCCAGACCCAAACTGCTCCCACCCCACAGATCTGAGACACCTGTGGTGCTCCCACAGGCTCCCGCAGCCCCAGAGGAACACAGTGGGGTGGGCTGGATAAGAGAGGGGATGCGTGGCAATCCAGATGCCACAGCAGTCTACACTCCCCACAGAGGCGGGAGGGTGCCCTCCACCTTGGAGCTGGCTGCCCTGCGAATTCTGGGACCCAAAGGAATTTGGCACTCCCCAGACTGATGGGCCAAGTGCCAGCTGAAAACCGTCAGGTGACTTCAGTGGATGATGTAGAGAGCCGAAGCCTCAACCTGCCCATCTCTGTCCAAATTCCCAATCCACGACGCCAGGAGCCATGATGAAACGGTTGCTTTAAGCCACTTAGTCTAGGGGTGGTTTGTCATAAGAGTGGCACAGCAGCAAACGACAGAAACAGACACCCCACCTCGGAAGACACCAGAGAAACTCAGACGAGTTATCATTTTACCCTATCCGATTGCCAAATATTAAATATTCTGACTAGTGTTGGAGAGGAGATAGAAAAACACAATCTTTATAGCAATCACACCATGAGCTGCTACCAGGGCCCTGGCAAAGCAACAGGAGGATCTGCTGGGACCTTACACACTCAAACACACGCACACATGCACACACACACCAGAGTACCCACAGTTCTCAGAACCCACCCTGTCTACCCAGGAGCTGTGAGCAACCTGTCTGTAACAACAAATTATCCAGGCACAGCCCACATGTCCAATGGCAGGGAGGCTAAGACTGTCACCCATCCAACCCGAAAACGGCCCCCAGAATTCAGGTGCACATGACACGGGGTCATCTGATCTCAGAAACACAAATGGTATCAGCCTCCCCTCAGGGTATCCCAGAGGGGCCCAAGTCCTAAGACGTTCCCAAGGCCCAGGCAGGGGGCCCCTCTGCACACACTGAAGGCCCTGTGGTGACCTGAATGAGCAGCTTCCAATCACTGTCTTGGAGTCAAATGGCCATTCTGTCCACTCTCCTCCACAGGGGGACTGTGGAGGCAGGGGGAGGGACACACACAGCAGGACTGTCCCTCCTACCCCATGCAAGGGAGATGCGCTCCTGCAGGGGAGCAGGCCCATGGCACCAGCATGTGTGTCCCGTGTGTCTGTGTGTCCTGTGTGTGTCTGTGTGTCCCATGTGGGTCTATGTGTGTCCCATGGCTCAGCCACAGGACCGGGCAGGGGCAGGGGGGGGTACGTGTTCTGGTCAGATGCACCCTCCAGCACACAGCAACATGCCCTGAGGTAGCATCTGGGTTTAAAGGTGTTTCAGTTCTAAGAGTGCTTGGATGCACCAAATGGATACGCGTCCATCTGCAGGTCTGTGGCCACTGCAGTTCTCTAAGGAACATCATCATGTGGACTGTGCTCCAGGGTAACTTCTGGAACCTTCTGCTCCAGCCAGCACTCCCCTGTCCCTTGCACCATCTGCCATCTGACCAAGAAGACCTCTGCTCATTCCTCATCCTGGCCCGCTAGATCTCACACACCTCAGCTCCCCCAGACCTGGAGCAGCCCAGCCTTTGCCACATCTTTTCACTACAGCTCCGGCTGTGAGGCATTTCCATCTGTCCTGTCCCCAAGTCCAAAACGTGAGAACAGCAGCAGTACTCTGTCCCAGGGTTGCTCTGAGAGTTCAGAGCTGGTCCACGGCAGGTGGGGAGAATGGTGTCTGCCCCACAGTGAGAGCTCAGGGTGATGGCAGAGCCAGGGACTGAAAGCTGCTGTCGTCTGGGCCCCACCTGCCCTCAATGCCTGCCCTTGAGAGCAGAGCACAGGGCACTCCTGCAGGACCCCCAGCCTCAGGCTTGGCTGGACCTGGGCTTCAGGAAACCGACTCCTTCCACAGCTTTCTCCTGCATTAGCTCCAGGGGCAGCCAGTGTTCTCATGGTTGAGTGCAAACCATCTCTGTCCCCTGTCAGACAAGGAGTTAGCGGGCACGACTAGGAGCCACCCAGGGAAGGCCTGGGCCTCCCCACCTCCACGTCCTCCTAGAGTGATGGAGGGCCTCCCTGTTGCATCACTGGCTGGTGTAGGAGCTCAACAGGTATCTTCTGAATGAAACAAAGAAAGAAGAACCGTGGTCTTTCCTTTTCCAAACCCAAGCAGGGCTGAAAGAAACCCCAGAATGGCCTCGGTATCAGCGATCCGTCTATGCCCCAGGGGACAATCTGAATAATAACTGTTCTGGCTCAGAGTCTTAATCCATTGATTCTTCAGCCTATGCCCCCATCTTCCCTCCCCTATTCAGCAGCTCAGCCAGCACATTTACAGTGGGGACCCTCAGCAGGGGCTCCCTCAGCATCCTGTGGCCCAACCATCCATTCACCCACATCTCACCTACCTCATGGAAGCTGAGGGACTCTGCGCAGGCCAGGCCATCCCTCCACACTGGTCAGTAGCGGTTTGTTTGCCCTGGGCCCCAGCTGCGGAAGCATGACTGCGCGGATGAGCCATTTCTGCCATCCCTCTAGCCACAAGCCTACTCCTCCTTCCTGTGCCCTGGGCTCTCCCCTCAGTCCCATCTCACTTCTCATCTCTCACTTGTACCCCAGGGAAGAGCTGCACCATCACTGCTGTGCCCTCTGCCACAACCATAACTACCCCACCCAAACCCCAAGCTCCAACTGAGGACACAGGAAAGCAAGTGAGTCATCAGGAGGAGGCCCCACAAGGCTGGACACCTGACCAGAGGTACCTTTACCCACTCAGCTTCTTCCTAGACCCTGTGGCCTCAAACATGTCAAAGTCAGGAGTCAGACTCATCAGGACAAGGGCATTCTCAGCAGGCACCAGAAGGACTGACCGGTCCACCATGCAAGGACTCAGAGGATCTAAAGTCCAGAGGGATGCCTGATGGTTATGGCTTTGGCCAAGCATGCCAAGGTGGAGCAGCAGTCCAGTGGGAGCAGAACCAGCAACCAGGCAGAGAGTCCCTGGGGTGTAGTTTTGCCCACTGCACCCTGAGGGCTGAGCCTTGAAGTCCCATTCAGGGCCTTGTCCACACGTCAGAAGGCAAATAAGGCCAGCACCTGCACAGAGCCCTAGCGAGGGCCACAGCAGCAACCTGACTCCCGGTCCCCAAGTCCCAGATGTCTGCACCAGCAAAAGGCCTCGGGTTCAGCTCCTAGATGCTCACTGGGATGACCAAGGCCCTCCGAGCTTGCCAGGCCAGGCCTTAGCCTGGGTGGAAGCAGGTGCGTCGGGGGGACCATGAGGATTGAGTGGCTGCGCCAGGGACCTGGGGGTGTGGGAGAGAAAGCCCAGCGTGGGCCAGGCTCCAGGTGAGGGCCCAGCAGGTGCAGGGCGCAGCGAACCCTGCAGACCCGACAGTGCGTCTGTCCGTGTCAGAGTGGCCTTCGTAAGGTGGGCAAGATCTAAATCTCCGCCCCCGACTCTGGCCGACCCCAGGGGGAGAGAACAGGAAGGACACATGCGGAAGAACTGAGCCACCCTGGCATCATTGCCCCGCCCCAACGGCCAGCAGCCACCCACCCCGGCCAGTATGCGCCGCCCGGCCGCCGCACCCCAGCCCTGCCTGCCGGCGGCGGGGCCCAAGACTCCCCAGGCGGGCAGGAAGGGAAGGGCGGGGGCGGCAAGAGGCGCCTCCAGCTCCGCGGGCCCCGGCCGAGCGCCACCGGCTGCCGCTTCCGGGAGCGCCGGCCCCGCCGCAGGTGCTGCGCGGCCACCTGAGCCCCGCCGGCCCGGCCCTCCCCAGAGAAGCCCCCGCGCCCACCTCGGAAGGGCAGCGGCGCCCCCAGGCGCACGCGCACGGCCCCCACCAGCGGCTCTCCGGGGCTGTAGACGACGCGACCGTGGCTCAGGCAGACCTCGAAGAGCTGCACCCGCCCCATGCCGCCGCCCTGAGCGGGCGGCCGCGCACTGACGCCCCCTCCCGCCGCCGCGCTCCCAGCCCCGCCCTCCAGGGCCCGCCCCCTCCAGGGCCCGCCCCTCGCCGGGCCCGCCCCCCCACCGTCCCTGGCCCGTCCCGCCCCCAGAGTCCCCTTCCTATCCCCGCCCGCCCCCAGCACCGGGCTCCCGCCCCCTCGCCCCCGCCCCATCTCCCTCCCCATCTCCCTCCCCTGCACCAACTCCCGGCCCGCCCACGGGTGGAGGTCGGCCCGGCGCACGGGCGCCGCCTGCTGCTCGGGGCAGAGCGGCTGACTCACCTGTCTAAGGGCGCCCCGCGCCGGCGCGCCTCCCCAGTCCTGCCAGGTATCGGCGTGCTCGCTGCGGAGGGCCGCCCCGCGTCGCTCGGGTTGGGGGGGTAGAACCTCGCGGGGGCGGGCCCCCCAGCGCCCAGAGTCCTCTTCCCTATGGGCGGGTCGGGCCCCTGCGGTGGGCGACGAGTGGACCCGGGGGTTCGCGAGACTCGCGCGGAGGCCGCGAACCGGAGCCCCCAGCCCCGAAGATGTGGGTCCCCGACTGTGCAAGCGGCGTCCGGGGGGTGGAGGTGAGAGAGGAGGGACCCCCTCTGACCTGCGGGATCTGGGATCTGGGAGGGCTTGAGGAGCGGGAACCCGCGGTTTTGGGGCCCGAGAGGGAGCGCAGCGAGGGAGCGCGATGCTTGCGCGGGGTATCCTTGCGCCGCGAGCGCCTGAAGGAGGACGCGTAGTCTTTGTATCTAGACTGGCTTGGAGATAAATTGGGGATGGGACAAAGTCACCACGAGCAGATTACAGGACGCGCATTAAGTAGGTGTCCGCACGAGTGTGAGGAAGACAAAGGACCACAGATTGGCAGGCCCCGGTTTGGAGAGGGTGACTCAAATCAGAGCGCTGATGACACCGAGAGTTTGGGGTGAAAGCCACAGAAACCGGATCTAGCCCTGCAGCAAAAGGAGAGGGGTTCGTAGGCTGGAGGGATCCCACGGGGCCAGACTGAGACAGAGGAGGGCCCTGGGGGGCCAGGAGCGTGCAGCCAGCTCCAGGCCCCACCTGGCTCGCTGGGGACTCAGGTGTTGGGAGTGTGGGGAGGGGTCTGATTGGCCGCACTTAAGATATTTGCCTGTCAGTACCATGGAAATGGAGGGATTCCCCCGAACTAGGAGTTCAGGGTGCCTGTGGGCCTGGGGAGGATTGTGGAGAACCCATAAATGCCCAAGTCCACAGCACAAGTCAAGAAGGGAGCGTTCAGGGAAAGAGCGAGATCTTTGTGTTGGCTGCACTAAGATAAAGGTGAGAAACTGGAACCGACCCCCCAAGTCAGCTTGGTTACCCACCATCCCCTGTCCTGGAAAACTCTGCTGTGCTCTCACTTATGGTGTCTGCGCAAACATGCTCTCCTCTCAGCTGTAGATGTTTGTTTTCACACACAGACACCCCACCCCAGGTCTGGGCCTGGAGTGTGTGCCCTCCTGACTCAGAACAACTTCCAAACCAAGGGCTCCCAGCTTTAACTCATTTTCTCAGACTGGTAATCCACCTGCTGCACCGTTACTGTCATCTTCAAAGCCCGGGTCAGCCCCCCTTATTTTTTGGTGATTTCAGCTCCTGACTCTGTCATTGTCTCCAATACCACTGTTGCAGGAATTCTCAGTGCCTCCAGAATCCACGTGGGTGATCCTTCCAACCCCTTGCCTTCTTAAAAGGCGCCTGGGATTGTTTTAATCAGGTATGAAAAGGTGACAGACGCAGAGACAACTGCCTTGAAAGAAGAGTTTAGAACTGACCCAAGAGGAGTGGGCACAAGGAAGTACCAGGACTGGGCAGGAGGCTGAATTTGCCAGGAGAGAGCACAGCCCAGAGCCTTTGTGGTGTCTTCTGTGAAAAGGAGTGGGTGCAGCAAGGTAGGCAAGTTTGGACAAGCTTAGGATAAGATGGGTTTGAATAATTCCGGTGGCCTCAGGGCTGCAGAGGTGGTCTCTAATTGTCGGGTACCTGGCCCCATGGTGATTTAGGACAGGGGAATATTGATGTGTGTTTGATAAAGGTATCTGAGGATCTGACTTCTGGGTTGGTTGTTTTGCATGTGAAAGGTGTGGTCCAGGGCAGGCCAGTTACTATTTCTAAGAATTAGTTAAGTCTGGAAGTGGCAGCCTCTCCCCAGTCAGCAAGGCCCCCAAAATGAACAAGCATCATAAGATACAGAAAATAACAACATGATCAACTAAGCTTTTGTTCCCAGGACTCCTCTCCAAGAACCTTCCCTGTCCTGCCCTGTCCTACTGCTTCCTTAGTTGGTCTACAAAGATGTCTGGCAACAACTTGCCCTATCCCTTTACATTCATGCTGTTCCTCCCATCAGGAGGGAGGCTCTTTCCCCTCCTGTTGAATCTGGGCTAGCCTCTTGACTTGACTGGCAGAGCTGCAATGAAAGACATGCCTTATAGGTTGCAGGTTCTGACGAGGCCTTGCAGCTTGTCCGCATTCTCTCAGAGTCCTGAGCTACCTTTTCAAAAGATCACAGAGAGAGAAAGAATGCCTGCCTGGGGAGTGAAATCCTCTCAGGCTGCCTGCTTTACTCACTTACATACCCCAATAACTGCAACTGTAGGAGTGACCCAAATCACCTTGATTTATTACTTATTCTGAAAATCAGGCTGCACTTTTCCACTCTGGGTGGGGTGTGTTAAGGGCAGAATGTCCAAGATCGCTCTTTTCACTGACCTGTCTGATGCCTCGACTGAGGCTGGCTAGGTGTCTCTTCCATGAGGCCTGTCCACATGGCTAGTTTGGGGTCCTGCACAGCATGATGGTCTCCAGACAATGAGGCTGAGTACCTGACAGCAAGCCCCCTATAGAGAGGAAGTTGAAGCTGCCAATCCTCAGGCCTGGACTGAGAAGTCCCAGAACTTTCCACCACATTTAAGTGCGTTAAAACAGTTACAGGACCAACATGGGTGATGCATCACACATAGGGAGGGAACTAGGACAATCTGAGACAATCTGCCACACCAGCCAACTGCAGAAGAACCAACCACCTGAGCCCAAGTTAGATTGCAGAATCACAAGAAAATACAGTTGGGTTTTGGTTGTTTTTGTTTGTTTGTTCGTTTGTTTTAGGATTTTATTTGTTTGAGAAAGAGTGAGAGATCACAAGCCAGGGGAGCAGGGAGCTTGATCCCAGGGTCCGGGAATCATGACCTGAGCCAAAGGCAGACACATAACTGACTGAGCCACCCAGGCGCCCAAAAATAAAGTTGTTTTGAACCACTGCATTTTGGGTGGTTAATTATGCAACAAAATAGATAGCTGGGACAGAAATTGGTACTTAGAAGTGAGATACTGCCATAATAAAATTCTAAAATCTGGCACTGACTTTGGAGCAGGCAGCAGGTGGACACTGGCAGCAAGAACTTTGCTGATGGAGGCTGGATGAGGGAGGCCATGTTCAGAATCGGCATGAAGATGGTGAGCCTACGGCCTGTGGAAACAAGGAAAGTGGAAACTGTGTCTAAGGATCTGATTTTCCTGGCAGGGAACTTTAAGGCCAGTTGGCTTTTTTCAGTTAGGCTAAAGTGAAATAAAAGAATTAAAGACGTAACTTGCATGTTCTGGCATAACCTAGAGGAACTATTTCCAATCCAGGTCTTGCTGAGGTAGAAAGTCAGAACTCTTTCTCATTTCTAGCCTTCCCAACTAGCAAAAAAATTCTGAAGGTAAGAAATGGCATCATGGTGAAGATTAAATCCAGGGCACTGCCAGCAAAACATGAAAGTAAATTCAAGGGTATGGTTCTATGATCCTTGTTAAGACTTCTGAGCCTTTCAGGAGGGAGTGGGGAATCCTTGTAGACTTCATCAGCCTGTCAAAAGGGCTTCTAAGAGTCTTGACGTTGTCCCACAGCACCTGACTCATGGCCACCGGACCGAAGAGCCTTCTTCTCAAAAACATTTGCAGCATAGCTTTTGTTTAGTGAAACCAGTTACTATTTGATATATAGAAAATCCATATTTTAAGGGGTGTATCTGCTTGAACTTTAATGTAAAATGGACAACGTTTGAAATAAAAGAGGGATCTGGGCTCTTTCTTTCTTTTTTTTTTTTAAGATTTTATTTATTCATGATAGACACAGAGGACAGAGGGAGAGAGAGGCAGAGACACAGGCAGAGGGAGAAGCAGGCTCCATGCAGGGAGCCCGACATGGGACTCAATCCCGGGACTCCAGGATCACGCCCTGGGCCAAAGGCAGGCCCTGAACCACTGAGCCACCCAGGGATCCCCTGGGCTCTTACTTTCTACTGTCAGGAAGCAGACCAACGAAGCCACTCAGCTGCAAACACAGGCCATTTCCTATGGAAAGGGGGTCACTGCACATGCGGGGTCCAGTGCCCAGAGTGAGGAACCCCAAACACTGACAACAGTACCCAAGGGAGCCACTTACAGGGAGCAGACAAGCCCTGATCCAGGAATATTGTGACAGGCGTTAGCTGGATTCCAAAATTGCTGTGGACCAGTGACTAAGGGTATACCCCCGCCCTTTTTTTAAAGATTGTATATATTCATGAGACACACAGAGAGAGAGAGAGGCAGAGACACAGGCAGAGGGAGAAGCAGGCTCCATTCAGGGAGCCCAATGCAGGACTCGATCCCAGGACCAGGATCACGCCCTGAGTGGAAGGCAGACGCCCAACCGCTGAGCCCCCCAGGGATTCCTATACTCCCCCTTTTTGAACAGGATGTCTGCTCACTTGTACTGTGTGCTTCAGCACTAAATGTTGGGTGTTGGGGGGCAGATAATGTGCCCTTGGAGCAAAAAGGGCCACACCCAATGTGCCTCATCCACCTGGGCCTGTTGCACATAACAATATACTGGACTCCAAGCCTAATGTCTTGATGAGATGGTGATCCTGGAGTCACTTGTGAGGTGCGCTCTTCAAGAGGGAGGAACATGAATCATTAGAGCCCAGAGGATGGACTAGGGCAGGCCGTTCGTTCCACTAGTGGTCCCCCCCTGTGAACCACACTTATGGACAGACTTCCTACACTGACTTTGGGCTTGCCTGGTGACCTGCTTTGGTCAGTGGTGTACTAGCAAGAATGATTCAAGTGGAGGTCCAATAAATGCGTGCACAGTAGGACTTTGTCACTCAAAGCACAGCCTCCAGTTATCCTGCCTGGCCCTGCAGGAACCCTGAATAATGAGGCGTCACTCAAAGGCAAGTCAGCTAGAAAAGAAATTAGATGCTCCAGTGAGTTCCCAGCCAAGGGCAACCAAAGGAGGAAAGTTGGCTGACACCATGTGGAACAGAAGACCCCCAATCATAGAATTGCAAAAAATCATGAATCATTGTTGTCTTAAGCTAGTAGGTTTTGGAGTGGTTGGGTTGCACGGAAGCCTACAGTCATCACCAAGCTGCAGCCCTTGTGGTCTCAGGCCCACACATCTCTGGCTATCATCTCCTGTCCTGCTAGCCCACTCTCTCTAGCACCCCGACTCCTGCAATCCGTAGGACCCTCCTGGGAACTCCAACCCATTGGCCTCACCCCTCTGTTGTCCTCTCTCCTTTCCTCTTTTGGCATTCTCACCGCTGTGAGGCAAGCATCCGGGCCAGAACCCATACCCACCCCTCCTCTTTCTCCTTACCTTCTCTGCGGCAGTCTACGCAGGCTGGGGAAGTCATCCTAAACACCACTGGGCCGTCCTGCTGCCTTTTCCTGCTTCTCTTCCAGCCAGTCCCATCACTCCTGCACCCCTCTCCTTGCACTGCCAACGTTTGCTCCCCTGTGGTCACTTTCAAAGGATGACTTCGTTTTCTACTTAGGTGAGAAAGTAGAAAGTTCTCACAAGTGGAGAACTCCCTCAAAGTCCTAACTCCACACCCATTTGCCTCCCAGAAACCTTACACCAGCCTCTCTTTCCTACTATGCTGGGCCACCCACAATCCTACCTACCTCTCCAGCCCTCCCCTCGCCCAGGTTCTCCTCTATGGGACCATTCCTACTGGTGAGCAAACATGCCATCTCCTCTCCCTATATAAAACCAACAGTCTCTCCACTTCCCTTCCCTTTCCAATTTTGGCCCCATTTCTCTGCTCCTGTTTTTAGCAAAAACACCTGAGAAGCGTTGTCTGTCTCACTGCCTCCAACCTTCTTCCTTTTAACCGGTCAGTTGTATGTAGTTTGCCATCACTCCATCAAGCGCTGTCCTCGTCAAGGCTGCTGGTGTCCTCATGGTGCTCAGCTACTAATTCCAGACTCCAACGGTACAGGACCAAAGGGCAGCACCCAACACAGCAGACGCCTCTTTCACATGCAGCCTTCACTTGGCTCCCAGGCTACTGCCCTCTTCTGGTTTTCTTTCTTTTTTTTTTTTTTTTTTTTTCTCCTGGTTTTCCTCTTACCTGACACCTCCCTCTTCATGGTCTGCTCCTCCTTTCAGCCTCTCTTTCCCCTTAATAAGGGAGTATCCATCCAGGCTGTCTTTGACTTCTCTTCGCTGTCTGCATTTTCATCTGATGTGATCTCATCCAGTTGGCTTTTAAACAAGTGTGCTAATGAATGCCAAATTTATACCCCAGGCTGGAGTGCTCCCTTTAACTCTGTCCTCATACAGTCAACTGCTTGGCAGCCTGAATGCGTAACATGAACAAGAAATTCATGTTTATTTTGCTAAGCTGCTGAGAACATAGGATTGTCACTGAAGCATAAACAGGTTTAAGCGGACTGCTACAGAAGACTGGCCCCGCACATCCAAACACCACCATCACCCCCTGACTAGCTGCTGTATTCACTGGCTCCACAGCCTTCCTGCTTCCAGTCTTCCCCCTAAACTACTGTGCCCCTCAGCCAGCCTGGCTCATGGAAAAGCTGCTCTATTCAAATTCTCCAACCGCCTCCCTTTGCTAAGTATAGAAATCAACGTTCTTCTAAGAGCCTACTAACCACCACCCTTGGCCCCCACATCTCTAATCTTCAGCCCTGTTCCTGTCTGGTCACAGCGGACAATCCCACTTTTCCCAACATCCCAGCCCAGGGCCCTGTGGCCAGCTCTTCCCCCAGATGCCCACATGGCGCTCTCTCCACTCCTTACACTGTTCAAGTCCATGAGTCAGTGGGGCAGAGCCTGCCCACCACCTTCCTTAGGCCCCTAGCCTCCTAATGCTGCTCTCCTTGTTTCCCCAACTGCCTTTATCACTCATCACGGGTCGTTCTGATTTGCACTCCCGGGTACTTTCAGTGGGAGTGCGGGTGGCGGGGTAGTTGCTAGGTAACAAGGGCGGCGGCCCCCGGAGTGTCCTCCCGCCCAGTGTCCTCCCGCCCCGAGCGCCCTCCAGCCACCAGGTCCTCCCGCCCTAAGCGCCCAGCAGGAGCGAGCGGAGGGCAGAGCGGCCGCGGGCCCATCACCGCAGCCCGGTTCACGGCCCGACCCGCGGGGAAGGTGGCGGCGGCCCGAGCGCAGGCAGTGCAGGGAAGAGGGGCCCCGTGGGCACAGGGGGGCGGTGTCCAGGGAGGGAGTACGGCGGCCCGCGCCCCTCGCCCGCCGTCCCGCGGGTGCGGAGCCGTTTACGGGGAGCCGCAGCGAGTTCCGCAGGACCCTTCGGGCCGCCCCTCCGCGAGGGGGCGGCGCGTGGGTTCGGGGGCCAGGGGCAGGGCCGCGGCCGGGCGTTGGGGCCGGCGCCCGGCCTGAGCCGAGGGCGGCCAGCGGGGAGCAAAGCGCCGCAACGCGGCCTCCAGCACAAAGCTTCCCGCGAAACTGACGTAGCGCGGGGCGGCCGCGCAAGCGCCGCCCTCGGCCGCGCCCCTCCCCCGCGCTCCCACTGCTCCTCAGTGCGCCGGCGTACTTTCCCTCCTCCCATTGGCCACGGCGCGGCGGCGCGCGCAGGCCGGCGCGGTGCGCACCCCGCGATTGGCGGGTCGGCGGCGGGCGGGGGTGTGTCCGCGTCGCACCCCGCCTCCGGCTCCGCTCGCGGTGGTGCGCGCGGCGGCGGCGGCGGCGGCGGCGGCGGCGGCGCGTGGCAGGTCCGGCGGGCCCGAGGCGGCGGCGGCCCGAGCCCGGCCCAGCCTCGTCCCGCCTGGCCCCGACCCCGGCCCGCCGGCCCGGCCCACCCGGCGCGCCGCGGCGCCGCCCCGGCCCGGGTCCCGGTCCCGGCCCGGCGCCTCCCGAGGGAGCGGCGCCGCCGGCCGAGCGCAGGCCTGGCCATGACCGACTTCAAATTGGGTATCGTGCGGCTCGGCCGGGTGGCCGGGAAGGTGAGCGGCGCGGGGGCGCGGGGCCGGGACGCTGGGCTGGGGCCGCGGGGTCGGGGGCTGCGGAGCCGGGCGGGCGGGCGGGCGGGCGAAGGGTCCCCGCGGGCAGCACAGCGCCCTTCCGAGGCGGCAGGACGGTGTGCGTGCGTGTCGGCGCCCGCCAGCCCGTCGTGGAGCCTCGCGCGGGGTTCACGCTGCCGGCGCTGGCCGAGTGCGGACGGGCCTCGATGGGCCTCCCGGAGCAGGGCCTCCCTCCGCTTCTCTCCCTTACCTGGCCCCGCCCTCCGCGGGTTCGAGGCCGGGGCTTCCTGGCACCTGTGGGCATTGAGGCTTGGCTGTTTCCAGGAGCCGGCCGGCCGTGCAGCTGCTCCAGCCACGGACCTTACCCTGGATGGGAACCCTGTTCCCATCCCCAGCGGCGGCAGCTCCTGGTGGGAGACAGGAGCAGAGGCAGTCAGATGAAGGTAAAACCGACTTAGATCTTAGAAGGAGGCTCCCCGAGCAAGAATGAGACTAGTCCGTTTGGGGGGCCGTTTCCTGCCTTTCCTACAAGAGGAATATGGCTTTTTACCTGGGGAAGGGTGGGCTCCCCATCGGCTCTGAGACCTTTTCTTACTCAGTGACTGGTTGCATTCAGATCATCCTTTAAAACTTATTTGGAACATTTCAGAAGAAAGCCAAACAGTTCAGTGAGCACCTGTGTACTGCCACCCATCCTAATAAATAAATGTTTTCGAGGCCTTCTGTATGCCTTGTCTCACTCCAGGGCCTCTCCTCTGTTCCGAGGAAGCCCCAGTCTCAAATGAGGGTCAGCAGCACCTGAAACACAGCTTAGAGGTTAGCCAGTCCAGGGGCACTTAGGGCTTAGGCGCGTATGGATGGGAAGTGAAGCCTGATTTCTACTCCTCTGGGACAGTCTGGAGTGGGAAATGACCACCTGCCTTGGGGGTAGGGTACTTGGTGCCCCTCACCTGCTAGCCTCATTTAACCTGAAGGGGCGGTTTCTGTTACTAAAACTGTACTGTGACCCTGAATGTAACATTGCAAAACGTGGTTAATTTCCAGACGAAGTACACACTGATAGATGAGCAAGATATCCCGCTGGTGGAGGGCTACTCCTTTGAGGTAAGGATGGCTGTTTCTCTGTGGGCCTGCTTTCAGCCAATGCTTCAGGAGAGTCAGGAGGAATGGGTTTTACCCTGTGATGTTGGTCCTCTCCCACTTTCACCCTCGTGCAAGTAGATCACATTGTGTGTGTTTGTGATGATTTCAGTTGGATAAGCCCTGGCTCCCTAGGGGACTGTCCAGTGCCACCTCATGTTTCTTCTGGCTTTGGCCTAGCGTTCCTCCATCCCCCATCTTCCTGAGCTCCCTTGCCTTTCACTCTTCTCTGTGGGATGAGCTCTGCCCATCCTCACCTACCGGCTCCTCCACTTCAGAAATCCTTGAGGGCTTTGTGGACCCACTATGCTTTATCTCAGCCCTTCGTGTTTTTACAGTAAGGGTGGCCCTTGAACAAGAGTTTGAACTGCACAGGTTAACTTAGATGTGGGGGGTTTTTGATAAACATAGTCTATTACTGTGAATATATTTCATCATGACTTCTTTGAAAACGTTTTCTTTAAGAATATAGCATATGAAAAAAAGAAAAAGAAAAAAAAAAGAATATATTTGTGTTAATCATTTGTTTGCCTCAGTAAGGTTTCTGGTCCAGAGCAAGCTATCAGTGAAGTCTCTGGAAGTTAAAAGTCCTATGCGGATTTTCACCTGTGTGGAGGCTCTGTACCTTATCTAACTACGTGTTCAGGGCTTAGCTATTAGTTACTTGTTCAAGGGTTTGTTTTTCTCACTGAATTGTGGGCATTTTCTAAGAGTAGGAAAACTTGTCTCTTTATGTCTACAGTGTTTTGCAGAGTGGTTTGTGGAGTATGTTGGGATATAGGGCTGGCTTCTCATGTCTGGGAGCCTCTGCAAAGCCCAGGGTCCCAGAAAGAGGCCCCATATATTTGCTCTAGCTTGTTTGTTTCACTTCACTTCTTTAATAAAGTTTGAAAATGTAGCTGAGACCTGGAGGCTTTTTAACAGACCATTTCTCTCTCAGGCCCGGATGGAAGTAGATGCAGATGGAAATGGTGCTAAGATATTCGCATATGCCTTTGACAAAAACCGAGGAAGAGGGTCAGGAAGGCTCCTTCACGAGCTGTTGTGGTAGGTGTTTATGAGCTGCTTGTTCCTCATTTGGGTACTGCACGCAGCAACCTGTCCCTGTTGACAGAAGATGTGTTATCGGAGTCATGCTCCCCCCACCACCCCTCTTGTTACCTTTGGATCATTGCCGCTGACCCAGAGGAATGGCTCATTTGCATAGCGTACCACTAATGGAGCAGTCTAAAAATGCACTTTCTGCTCAGGCACTTGTACCGGGCATGGCTCTCTCTGGGGTAGGGAGGAGTCTGCTCCGTCCACTGTGTTCTTGCTGAGCCTGTTGGTGGGATATGAGGAATGGCCTGCCTCCTCGTGGCGTCCACGGTGGAGTTTCAAAATGCTTGGAACTGCTCAGATGGGGTGTTCTCTAGGCTGTGTGTTTGGTGGTTGGGGGCTCCATCCTTGGCTTTTTGCAGCCCAGCTCTCAAATCAAGGGGCTGAACTGTCAGCATGGTCCATCTTGTTTGACCACAGACTGACTGACATACTTGGATTCCTCTCAGCAGCCTTGTTCCTGACGCTCTCTGTCAGTGTGGCGAGGGGCCAGTTCAGATCCCACAGCTGAAGTATTTAGGGAGACCTGAGGTGGCCGATTGCAAGAGTTGTCTGTTTCCTAGGGAGCGGCACAGGGGAGGCATTGCTCCCGGCTTTCAGGTGGTACATCTCAATGCTGTGACTGTGGA